ATAAGTGAAAGAGCCGGTTGACATTCGATCCTCCCAGGAAATTACCCGTGTTTCGCGCACGATGTACAGCGTTCACCATAAGCGACTTTCGCTCACCGTATGGCGATCGTAGACGCGACTACAGCCACCCCACTGATCCCGAGGACGGGAACCAGACTACTTCGCATAACGCTGACAGAGTATCGCGGGGCAACGAGAGAGACGAAGCCCCCTGGCTGAGATAGAGAGGAATGCGCGAAGAGAAGGTCGACAAGGAAAGCGCAAACGCGTGAAGAAGGGTCGACCGTCGAGCTGGCGGGCGGAAGGGCAGAGGGGTGATCGGAGAAAGGAGTATCTTCTCGTGATGAGAAGTGCATAGAGTCGTGAAGCCATATACGACGCGGCCAGCTGGGCGCGGGGAAAACAGGAGACAGGCGGACAAGACAGAGAGAAGACAACGCGAAAGACGAGAAAAGGTACAATGCGAGCCCCGAAGAAGGCCCCCGAGCGGATCCTTCTGGCGAGTGCACAGAAATGGCCACATAAGAGGCAAGGAAAGGCGCCGAGGCGGTGCGGCCCTGTGAGTGAGGGCTCATGGACCCCGCTGCCTCGGCAGGGTCACAGGCCAGTCAGCCCGATCCGCTTCGCGCGCCGGTCCTCGTGCTCCGGCACCCGAGAGCGAGCAACGAGAGGTTTGCGGTGGCCCCACGTGGGAATTCAGACGCTCGCGGCGCCTCATTGTTGCGATGATGGCCATCTGAGAGCACAGGCAGTACATTGGTACATACGGCGACGCAACACCATTACGTACATTGGCTCTACACTGATTGCCCTCCTGAGTGAATCTACACTCATACGCAAACATGTATACAATTGCATATACTAGCATACTCTAGTTATCTTGAAAAATATTTTAGTATCATATAAATGATGCATGTACTAACGATTTTACAATAGGCATGCCACATACGACAAATTATACCACCACAATAATAAAAACCTCCTTATTACTGCTTAGATTGACTCGATACTCATCCATCCACAGCAATATAAAATAGCGCCCATACGCCAATGGAATGCAAGTCCACTATCTTAGCTGTTCGATACCAGAATACGTTCACATGCAAGGAGGGTTGGCTCGGAGTGTACTCGGGGCGATTACAGTTCTTCTACATAACAGCACGCAAAAGGTGTATTTGCAGGTCCATTACATACATAAGGTACAGCGACGCTACCTTCATCTACCGACCCACTATGCGTCTCATGGATTGGGTATCCGCACCGATTTGCCGCATCGACCTGGAAAGTGAAACCGGGCCTCATCATGTCAAGATGAAATGGGATTTGAAATAGTGATTGATTGATGAGGTGTGAACCGATATGCATCTGAATGTACGGGACGAAATTAAGACCATGGATGTGCATGTATAGTATATATTGTATTTTTCAGAGGTAAATGAAATTGAATGTATGCTAAAAGAATTATAATAACTCACATCGATATAAAAATAATAATCATGCGTGAGAAATATAAAAATCAACCCAATAAGCGATAATGAGATGACTCATTTGAAATTGGAATAGCAATAATGATAAGAATTGATATATATGCAACCACAATAATTTAAACTATTCTCCCGGTGCAAAAATGATAATTGAAAATTTCGCTCTACCTCCAGATATGGTATTCATAGATGGGGTTAAACAATAAGCTTTTAATGACACGCAGAAAGCCCGTTAAATACAACCACGGGACACAAACAGACACATACAAGACACCTGCATTAAAAACTAAACCGAACTCAATTACAAGAGAGGTGCAAACAAATGTAAGAAATACAGATAAACAGGCCCAAATCTGATGCGCACGTAACATTATCCCCTTCTCTCTCCTTCGCGTTTCTTCACTCCCACGAGCGACGCTCATAATACCTAACTCACGACACATAAAGAGTGAAAAAGTGAGCGTGCCTCGCGATCAAACGATTGACTCAGCAACCTCTGCGGCGAGCGTTAAGAAACAAATAACACGATCTTAATATCCATCCACAGAACGAGCGAGGAGACTCCGAGAAACCCGTCAAGTTTAGCACCAACTAAACAACCAACAACACACTGCCCAGATCCCCCAGTCGACCATGCGCACACGCAGCACCGTCATTCACATCATCGCACATCTAGTGCTACACACACACACCGAACACGTCACCAAATCTACCACTCGGACCACCACACACACAGCGCGATCACAACACTCAGTAGCCACATTTAGCGAGAGCGTGATAACGACAAGAGGACTTCACGTTAGATACACCTCCCCGAAGTGCTGACACACCACACCCTCCCCTTGACGTGTGAGCCTGCCGCAGGCCAAATGAACCCATGGCCACACAAGAGGTCTCATTGCGATACAACATTTTAGTGTGAATGTCCGAAGCAATCTCCAGCGAGCGTAAACCGTCAAAACGACCCCCAGATGACCACCACGCTGGGCTCACCGATCCTACCCACTCCCGGGATCTCGCCCTCCACGCGACTACAACGCCTACACGCGCCAGCCACCATTCCCCGCAGATCCCTCACCCTACCACCACAGCGCCCTTTGTCCCACATTCGCCCCTCGCACTCTACCAGTGCACACGGCTTACCGCCTCCATCTCCGCCCGGCCGGCCAGGACCAGAGGCGGGCCCACAGCTGCGAGGCATGCGGAGGGCTCCCCTCCCGGCGGGATCTAGAGGCCGCCCCTTTGTTAAAAACCAACTATTTCGAGTGACGATTTGATTTTTGTTCTTCTTTTCACCCCGAGCGGCAGAGAGAGCACAAGAAGCCGGCGTCTCCGTTTCCCGGATCGTTCGGCTGCGCGGCACAAATACGGGGGCAGGACGTAAGGAAGAGATTTAGAGAGGGCCCCCCCTCTCCTGCCGTCCCTGTTCCTAGATGCGCCAAAACAGTTTTCCCATTTTCGGTTCTCTTTTTTTTAACTGTCCTCCCCTGTTTATCCTCCTCTTCTCTCTCTCAAGGCCCCACTAAATGTCTTGATATCTCTCAGTTTACCTTCACCTTTTTCTTTTTCTTGTTCTTCTCGCTCCCTTGCTATACACGGTGTAACTTTCTTGTCCCCACATTCGCATTACTTAGGTTGAGGATACTGTTATGATGGTTATAATATATTTAGTACGCGTGGGTTACCCTACATGGGTTGAAATCTCTTAAACAGAGGTTTTGAGAATTCACACCCACAATTAATTCACAAATGACACTTAATCTAAATTATTGATTCTCTTCTTCTAAGACCATCAGATTTCACTAATTTACCTTCCTAATAATCACTTTATGAACCACCGCCAACCCTGCTTCCCACACCCTTCCCGGCCCATCACCTGGACGGGTACAAGGCTGACCCCATTCCCTTCGCTGACCTAGGAACACTCCACACCCTCCTCATCCTGCGGTGCGTCAGCCTCCTCTGGTACCCTGCGTTTTATGTTCTCCGTCCGCGACCCAGCCCTCCTCCTCGGCCACCCTCCCCTCTCCTCTCCTGGGGTGGGCGGCCGCGCGGTTCCTACCCCTGCCACTGACCCCCTAGTCCTCCTTCTTGAACCCCCGCTGTCTTTATTTGTCTTTGTTGTAACTCTCCTACGAATCATAGTCGAATTCTGCTTCGCAGTCAATACGCACTTATACTCCTTATACCTTCTACTCTCTCGACACCCCTACTTCCTAGCTGCTTCTAAGGTCTCTAGTGGGATACCGACAGACAACACTAATCTACTCTCCAGCTCGGCCCACATTTGCCATTCTCTGATACATATCTGGTCTTCCTGATTACTCTCTTTTTTCTTTTCACTCTGTCACCAGTCTATTCCTGAACGATTTCAACCAGGTTATGTCTGTCAATTTGATCAATTTGATCTTAATACCATATGGGAATTTAGTCTTCGTTCCATAATGTCTTGTTTTATGATGCCAGATAGATAGTAAGTCATCTTACGGAGATTTTATGTTTTTGTTTGTTTTTTGTTTATGTGTAGGTTTCCTATTTTTGATCTTTACGTCCTCTTGCTGCAACCCCATCTTTCTTACTCCCAACCTCTCCCTCCAAATTCCACTCATTCACCCTATCACACCCCACTCCAACCCAACCCTTATGGCATATATCACTCACCCCACTCCAAACCCCAACCCCAATCCACCCCCACCTAACCCATATCCTTTTTTATACTCTCGCCCTAAAATCCTCCTCAACCACCATCCTACCCCACCCCAATAATTCATCGTACTCCTCTACCTTACCCACCCCCCTGTTCATACACCCCGCAATCACTCTCATCTTCCCTTCTTACATCTCTCACATCCCCACGCCCTAACACTCCCCATTCCTCTAACCTCCCCTCCCATCCCCATTCTCCCTCTCCCCTCTCCTACCCCACTCCCTCACCCCACCCCACCCCATCTCCCTCTCAACCCGTTATCCTCACCCTCTCTACCTCATGCCCTCATACTCTCCTCCCCTCTCCTTACCCCACTCCCCACTCTCCCTCCATCCCCACTCCCCAACCCCCTCCACCCCCCTTCAACATACACACACATACTACTCCTGCGAACCCTACTCTACATCGCGTTCTCTCCGGCTCTCATCGATGCTAAAGTGCGCCCGCGAGCCACCGCCCTACTCTTATTTTCTCCGGAGTTTTTCTCTCTTCACTTAATTCCATCTGACGGAAGGTCCGGCGTTGCGACAAGGACCGGGTCCGGTATCCTTCGCAGGACGGCCCTTTTAAATCTGGCCTTCATTCTTCCCCGCATGGTGGTTTGCACGTAAAGTTGGCAGCAGTATACTCGAGGCAAGTGCTCCGGATCCCTGCCCTCCGCACCTGCAGTCTACTTGCCTCGTCCGCTGCACGGCCTCGTCGTGTGGGCCGCCGTGCCC